TACTGGGTACCGCTGTGGTGTACTCATGCCCTTTCCTGCACATATTTTTCATGTGCAGATCCATGTACATCGACTCAGCCATATCGTTAGCGAGGCGAGGCAATCTCTAGAGACTTTGAGGTATATCTGCCACGTCCGCAGACCGAGGAGTCCCTATCTACTCTCTCTTTTCGTTATAGCCCTTCTGTATTTCTTCTTTTGTTTAGACACTCTGGAGTTAGAACACTTTGTAGTTATTTCATAGCTTGTGATTTCATGAGATTCCGGGTTTTGGGAAATGTAGTTTCAGTTTGAGAGTTTTATTGTATATGCCGAGCGGCATTTAAATGTTTCATTATGTTATTCTGCAGTTTTTGGCTAGTTTTATTCTGTTGTTTCTTTTTCCGCAATTTGTTACGGTTACCTAGTCGTAGAGACTAGGTGCCATCACGATAGTTCACGGAGGGGGAACTGGGATCGTGACAAGTTGGTATCAGAGTTCTAGGTTCATAGGAGTCATGAATTACAAGCTGGTTTATTAGAGTCGCGGATCGGTACAGAGACTTCTGTACTTATGTACGAGAGGTTATGTAACCGTTAGGAAAATTCCACTTCATTTGATTTCCTTGTCGTGCTAAATTTTTGACATCACAATCCTAAACCTCTGTTTTCTATTCTCTCACTGATGGTGAGGATACGTGCTACCGGAGGTGACCAGACACCCGCACCCCCTACGAGAGCCGTCAGAGGTCGGGGCTAGGGTAGAGGCCGTAGACGCGCACGCGGTGCAGCCAGAGCACCCCGCGAGCTGCTACAGAGGAGCCACCAGCAGTTCTAGCTGGATCCCAGGCGCCTGATACGCCTACTGCTACTACTTCTCCAGCACTTCAAAAGACCTTAACACAGATCCCGAGCATGTTTGGTACATTGGTTCAGGCAAGATTAATTCAGGTTGTACCAACTACCGCCGTCCCCACTCCAGAGTATTGAGTTCCCACTGGTCAGGTCCCAAGTGTCATGGCGACATAGCCTATGGTCCCAGTTCAGCAGGTGGTGAGGATCTCTCGCCGAGTAGAGGACAGGTGGGTCCAGGAGGGAGAGGACAGACGAGGTCAGGAGAGAGAGTATAGGGAGTCAAGGAGACCTCGTAGACCGGAGAGATCCACTGGCCCTTTTTGGAGGAAGAGTACGGCATGGTAGAGGTTTTGTGGGTCAGCCAGCTCAGTTTGTGTTTCAGGCTTCGCACAGTGTTTCATGTGTTTAGGGGTCTCAGAGTAGCCATACTGCACAGTTCCCACTGCCACGTTAGGAGCGAGGTTGTTTTGAGTGTCGTGACATACGCCATGTGGTGAGGTATTGCCCTAGACTAGGGAGGGGTGCGCCTCCACAGACTTCTCAGCCACAGCGCGCCCCACAGAGTTCTCAGGCTATGATCACAGCACTAGTTGCTACCCCACCTGCTCAACCAGCTAGAGGTGGAGGTCGGGGAGGTAGAGGTCGTCCTAGAGGGGGAGGCCAGGCCAAATATTATGCCCTTCCTGCCCGTATTGAGGCTGTCGCCTTTGATTATGTCATCACAGGTACTATCCCGGTCTGTCATAGAGATGCATCGGTTCTATTCGATCTAGGCTTCACTTATTCTTATGTGTCCTCTTATTTTGCCCTGCATTTGGGCGTATCTCGGGATTCATTGAGTTCTCCTATTTATGTTTCTACTATTATTCGAGATTCTCTTGTTGTAGACCACGTTTATCGGTCGTGTTTGATTGCTCTTAGTGGTTTTGAGACCAGAGCCGATTTGTTATTGCTCAGCATGGTAGACTTTGATGTTATCTTGGGCATGGACTTGTTGTCGCCCCATTATGCTAATCTTGATTGTCACGTGAAAACTATAACGCTGGCTTTGCCAAGTGTATTGCGAGTAGAGTGCAGGGGTACCTTAGATCATACTTCCAGTAGAGTTATTTCGTTCCTTAAGGCTCAGTGTATGGTTGAGAAGGGGTGTGACGCATATCTAACTTATGTGAGAGATGTCAGTAGTGATACCCCTACAGTTGATTCAATCCCAGTAGTGCGGGATTTCTCTGATGTGTTTCCAACTGACCTTCCGGGCATGCTGCCCGATAGAGATATTGATTTTGGCATTGATCTATTGCGGGCACTCAGCCCATTTCTATTCCTTCGTACCGTATGGCTCCTCCTGAGTTGAAGGAGTTGAAGGAGCAGTTGCAGGAATTGCTTGATAAGGGTTTCATTCGGCCCAGTGTATCAGCAGAAGGGTGCTCCGTTCCAGTGGACGGAAGAGTGTGAGGAGAGCTTTCAGAAGCTCAAGACAGCTTTGACTACATCCCCAGTTCTGATATAGCCTACCGGTTCGGGGTCTTATACTGTCTATTGTGATGTCTCAAGGATTGGCCTTGGAGCGGTATTGATGCAGGACAGTAGGGTGATTGCCTACGCATCCAGACAGTTGAAGGTTCATGAGAAGAATTATCCTGTACCAGATCTTGAGTTAGCTGTTATTGTTCACGCCTTGAAAATCTGGCGTCATTATTTGTATTGTGTGCCTTGTGAGATTTATACTGATCACTGGAGTTTGCAGCATCTGTTCAAGCAGAAGGACCTTAATTTGCGTCAGAGGAGGTGGTTAAAGCTGCTGAAGGACTATGATATCACTATTTTGTATCACCCGGGCAAGGCCAATGTGGTGGCCGATGCTTTGAGTCGCCGGGCGGAGAGTTTGGGGAATTTGGCTTATTTACCAGCAGTAGAGAGGCCCATGGCGATGGATGTTCAGGCCTTAGCCAATCAGTTTGTGAGATTAGATCTTTCGGAGCTTAGTCGGGTCCTTGCTTGAGTGGTTTCTCGGTCTTCCTTGTTTGATCGTATCCGAGAGCGGCAGTTTGATGACCTTCATTTGTGTGCCCTCAGGGACTGGGTTCTGCAGGGCGATGCCAGAGATGTGACCATTGGTGATGACGGGGTAATGAGGATGCTGGGTCGGGTTTGTGTACCCAATGTTGATGGGCTTCGGGACTTGATTCTAGAGGAGGCCCATAGTTCGCGTTACTCCATCCATCCGGGTGCCGCAAAGATGTATCAGGATTTGAGGCAGCACTATTGGTGGAAGCGGATGAAGAAGGATATAGTTGGGTTTGTAGCTCGGTGCCTCTATTGTCAACAGGTAAAGTATGAGCACCAGAGGCTGGGTGGATTTCTTCAGCAGATAGAGATTCCAGAGTGGAAGTGGGAGCGGATAACCATGGACTTCGTAGTTGGGCTCCCACAGACTTTGAGGAAGTTCGATGCCATTTGGGTGATTGTGGATCAGCTGACCAAGTCCGAGCACTTCATTCCTGTGCGTACCACCTATTCTTCGGAGCGGTTGGCGGAGATTTATATCCAGGAGATTGTCCGTCTGCATGGTATTCCAGTTTCTATTATTTCAGATAGAGGTACTCAGTTCACATCACGGTTCTGGAGGGTCGTACAGCATGAGTTGGGCACTCGAGTGGAGTTGAGCACAACATTTCACCCTCAGACGGACGGACAGTCCGAGCGTACTATTCAGATTCTTGAGGATATGCTCTATGCGTGTGTGATTGAGTTTGGAGGGTCTTGGGATCAGTTCTTGCCATTGGCGAAGTTTTCCTACAACAACAGTTATCAGTCCAGCATTCAGATGGCACCGTATGAGGCTTTATATGGTAGGCGGTATAGATCTGCGGTGGGTTGGTTCGAGCCGGGTAAGGCTAGATTATGGGCACAGACTTGGTACAGGATGCTTTGGAGAAAGTCAAGGTAATTCAGGATAGACTTCGCACAGCCCAGTCCAGACAGAAGAGTTACGCGGACAGGGAGGTTCGTGATGTTTCCTACATGGTGGGAGAGCGGGTCCTGCTCCAGGTTTCGCCTATGAAGGGCGTTATGAGATTTAGGAAGAAAGGGAGGTTGAGTCCGAGGTCTATTAGTCCTTTTGAGATATTGCAGCGTGTTGGGGAGGTTGCTTATGAGTTTGCCTTACCTCCCAGCTTGGCAGGTGTTCATCCGGTATTTTATGTTTCGATGCTCCGCGGGTATCATGGTGATCCTCGCACGTGTTGGATTTCAGTTCAGTCCAGTTGGACAAGGATCTATCTTACATTGAGGAGCCAGTGGCGATACTGGATAGGCAGGTTCGGAAGCTGAGGTCAAAGAACATTGCATCAGTGAAGGTTTAGTGGCGGGGTCAGCCGGTCGAGGAGGCGACTTGGGAGACCGAGCAGGATATGCGCAGCCGTTACCCTCATCTTTCCACTACCTCAGGTATGTCTCTATGCTTGTTCGAGGACGATTGAATGTTTAAGTGTGGGAGGATGTAACGAACCGGCCGGTCGTTTTAAGAATTAACGCTCTGATCCCCCATTAACTGCATTCCCCATGTTAGTTTCTGCTAATGTGAGTTGCCGGGAAGATTTATTTGGAGATCGGAGAGTTTTGGGACACTTAGTCCCTAAAAATGAGTTTAAGTTTTAGAATTTGGACCGTAGTCGGAGCAGTGTGAAGACGGCCTCGGAATGGAATTCCGTTGGTCCCGTTTGCTTCGTTGGGTGATTTCAGGTTTAGGAGCGTGTTCAGATTGTGTTTTGGAGGTCCGTAGCTTATTCAGGCTTGAAATGCCGAAGTTGAATTTTTGAAGTTTCCGGTTCGATAGTGAGATTTTGATATCGGGGTCAGAATGGAATTCCAGAAGTTGGAGTAGCACCGTGGTGTTGAATGTGACGTGCTTGCAAAATTTCAGATCATTCGGACGAGGTTTGATAGACTTTTTGATCGAAAGCGGAATTTGGAAGTTTTTGGAATTCTTAGGCTTGAATTCGATGATGATTTGGTGTTTTGATGTTGTTTGAGGTATTTTGAATATTGGTACAAGTTTAAACAGTGGTATAGGACTTGTTCGTGCTTTTGGTTAAGGTCCCGGGAGCCTCGGGGTGATTTCGGGTGGTTAACGGGAGATTTTGAGTTGGGTTTGGCAGCTGAAGTTATCGATTATTGTCATAACCGCACCTGCGGCTAGGGGACCGCACAGACTCGCAGAAGCAGATGTGAGCCGCAGATGCAGCGACATGCGAAGAGAGAGAAGACGCAGATGCGGGAGGTGAGCCGCACCGCGAGCCCGCAGATGCGGAGTCTGGGTCGCAGGTGCGGAAAGGGGACTTAAGTGAAAAATCGTAGAAGCGGTGCCTTTGACCACAAAAGCGGTAGCGCAGAAGCGAAAATAGACCGCAGGTGCGAAAAGCCTGGGTCAGAAAGTATAAAAGATCTCCTTCGCGATTTTTGGCCATTTTTCTCAATATTTCATTCGGGGCGAAGCTTTTGGGAGCAATTTCAAGTGAGATTTTCAGAGGGATTCATTCAGGTAAGGTTCTTGGTTCCTAAGCTCGTTATTATGGTGATTTTTTTCATTGTAAGCATGAAATTTGCAGGAAAATCAGTGGTAAATTGGGGTTAGGGCTTGGTTAATTGGAGAGCTTTGAGTGGTGATTTGAGGGATCATTTGAGGTCCGATTTTAGTACTTTTGGTCTGACTGAACTCGTGAGAGTGTGAGGATCCCGAATTTGTAAATTTTACCCGATTCCGAGATGTGGACCCGGGGGCATTTTGGTCATTTTTCCAAAGTTCGCGTATTTGCTTAGAATTTATTAGTTAAATTAGTTACTTGAACTGTTATTTACATTATGCAATTACTTTGAATAGATTTGGGCCATTCAGAGTCGGATACTCATGGCAAGAATGTGGTATAGCTTTGATTGAGCTGGTTCGAGGTAAGTAGCTTGTCTAACCTTGTGTGGGGGACATTCCCCCTAGGATTTGGTATTACTGTCATATTAATGTCGTGTACGTGAGGTGACGAGTGCGTACACGTGCTAATTGTTGGAAACCCATTTTACATTAAGTAAATTAATTGTGTTTCTTTCTTCTTGAACATTACTTGTATTTTAAGCCTACTGCATAGTTTAGGGAAGCATGCTTAAGTGTATTAATTGTCCTATATGCTTAAACTGTTTATGTGAACTCTGTGCAGCATGTTAGGTTAGAATTACCTGTCCATTTTGATATTAATTGGTTTGAGTTGATTATCCTTGTGTTGTTGCTGCGTGTTTACATTGGGACTACGGGCGGTTCCCGGTAGATCCCCCCTTGTCTGTTTATTTGGGACTACAGATGTGGTATTCCGGTAGATCCCCCTGCACAGTTATATGGAACTACGAGACTGCACTCGATAGATTTCCCCCAGTACTGGGTATTTACATTTGGGGGCTACAGGACGGTATCCTGGTAGATCCCCGGTTGCTGGATATTTACATTTGGGGGCTATAGGATGATATCCTGGTAGATCCCCGGTTGCTATCTCTATGTTGAGCTGTATTCTTTCTGCGATATATTCTCTGTTACAATTTTTGTTATTCTTATCATTATACTTTGTTACTTCATACTGTTTCGCTCTTGAATGAAATTGTGGATTCTTTCCATGATATTGTTGTCTTTTTATTTTGGGACTACGCATGAGTATTTCGGGAGATCCCCTGCGCTTATATTAATTTTGACTGTAGTGCGGGATACCAAGAGATCCCCAGCACATATATTGAGGATACCAAGAGATCCTCGGGATACCGAGAGATCCCCAGCACATATATTGAGGATACCAAGAGATTCTCGGGATACCAAGAGATCCCCAGTACATATGTTGAGGATACCAAGAGATCCTCGGGATACCAACAGATCCCTAGCACACATATTGAGGACAAAGAGAGATCCCCGAGTATTTACGTTTGGGACTACGGGACGGGATCCTGGGAGATCCCCTGTCGATGCTTCTGTGTACTGAGTGTATATTGGTCTTTGATTTCTTCTCATTTTTCTGATACTATTTTGATTATACTGTTGCATCTTACATTGTCTTACCTTGCTTTATATTTTATAATCGGTAGGGCCCGGACCTTCCTCGTCACTACCCGACCGAGGTTAGGCTTGGCGCTTACTGGGTACCGCTGTGGTGTACTCATGCCCTTTCCTGCACATGTTTTCCATGTGCATATCTAGGTATATCGACTCAGCCATATCGTTAGCAAGGCGAGGCGATCTCTAATCTGCCACGTCCGCAGACCGAGGAATCCCTATCTACTCTCTCTTTTCGTTATATCCCTTCTGTATTTCTTCTTTTGTTTAGACACTGTGGAGTTAGAACACTTTGTAGTTATTCCATAGCTTATGATTTTATGAGATTCCGGATTTTTGGAAATGTAGTTTCAGTTTGAGAGTTTGTATTGTATATGCCGAGCGGCATTTAAATGTTTCATTATGTTATTCCGCAATTTTTGGCTAGTTTTATTCTGTTGTTTCTTTTTCCGCAATTTGTTAGGCTTACCTAGTCGTAGAGACTAGGTGCCGTCACGATAGTTCACGGAGGGACAAATGGGGTCGTGACAAAACTAGCCTTTGCTATCCATATTGTGGTTATTACAGCAAAGTGCTTATACCAAATGCAGAAAGAGAGTGGCCTTCTATAGTCTATCTCCTTCCATTTCAAACATGAATTACCATTTTCTATTAAAAGAACCAGCACATAGACTAAGATGTTAGAAAATTTGAGAGAGCAAGACACCACAAATGAACACTCAAAACTCACAACAAAGAAAGTAGAGTAAAGGATGACTTCTTTTCAACTTGACTTACAATAAATGGCTAGGAATGCATGGTTACTTATAGGATCAAGTATCTAGCCTACACTACATGTAAACATAATAACTAAGTTCACACCTCACATCTTTCGAGGTACATGGATGATACCTCTAGACATTGTATATTCCAATGTACGTCAATGTGTTCATACTCTAATACATGTACTAACTTAATATTCTAGTTCATGAACTAATGTAGACAAATGTAAACAAATGAAAAAACAAGTTTGTTATTATCACATTTCAACACCCCCCCCCCCCTAAACTTGTTCATCACTCCAAGAGCTATCCTTAGCTCTTGAAAGAACTCAATCTTCAACAACTTGGTGAAAATATCCGTAATTTGGTCTTGTGACTTCACGTGCTCAAGCTCCACAACTTTATTAGATATGCAATCTCTAATAAAGTGATACCCTGTATCAATATGTTTTCTCCTTTCATGAAATACCGCGCTCTTGGCCAATTCAATAGCCGATTGTTGTCAAGAAATATCTTTGTTGCATCTTCTTGTGGTTGGTGAAGTTCTTTCAACAAGCTCCTTAGCCAAATTACATGACAACACAAGAACAAGCTGCTACATACTCCACTTCACAAATTGACAAAGTCACAATTGGTTGTTTCTTAGAATTTCATGTAAATGCAAAATTTCGAAGAAAGAAAAACAAACCCAGTAGTACTCTTTCGATCATCAATATCACTAGCCCAATCACTGCCACAATATCCAACAGGTTTGGAGTCTTTGGAAAATGAATAAAATATTCCATAATCAAGGGTACTTTTGATGTATCGAAGTATTCTTTTTGCTACCTTCAAATGGGAGGTAGTAGGCTCTTCCATAAAGCGACTCACAAGTCCAACACCAAAAAGAATATCTTGTCTTGTACATGTCAAGTACCTTAAGCTTCCAACAAGAATCATGAAAAGTGTGGGATTGATCTTTTCTCCCTCTCCATGCTTGAACACTTTAACTCCACATTCAACGGGGGTGCTCACGGGATTGCAATTCTCCATCTCAAATGTTTTGAGAATTTTGCATATTCTTCTTGAGAAATAAAAATGCCATCCTTCCTTTGTTGCACTTTGATTCTAAGATAGTAGGACATTAAGCCAATGTCCGTCATCTCAAGCTCTCTTGCCATAGCTTCCTTGAATTCTTCAAATATCTTTTAATTATTTCCTGTAAAGATCAAATTATCTACATACAAGCAAACAAGTAAGATGTCACCATTTTTAGAAATATTGACATAAAGTGCATGTTCATGTGGATACTTTGAAAAATCATTTGCTTGGAGATATTTATCAATTCTACTATTCCAAGCCTGTGGCGCTTGCTTCAAGCCATAAAGAGCTTTCTTCAATTTCAACACTTTATTATCATGTCCTTCAACTTTGTAGCACAAAGGTTGATCAATGTAAACCTCTTCCTCCAAAACACCATTCAAGAAAGCCGACTTCACATCCATTTGATATCCATTGATTTTGAGCTGCCAAAGAAATAATAAAACAAATTGTTTCAAAGAGATCAGCCAGTGCAAAACCTCATCATAATCAATACCGGTCTTTTGCTTGTACCTTTCCACCTTACCTATGCAATTTTTCTTCAACTTGTACACCCATTTGACACCAATGGTGCTTTTGCCTTTAGAAAGTATGACTAATTCCCAAGTATCATTCTTCTTGATTGCCTTGATTTCTTCATCCATGGCATCTCTCCATTTGGTATTTTGGGCAGCATCTTTATAAGTTAAAGGCTCACTATCCACCAACAAATAAAAGTGAGTCAATTCATATAAATCTTTCGTTACCACTTCCGTATGTTCATACAACTCACAAAAACTTTTAGTTTTCTAAGGACTTCAGAAGAACTTGAACTTGACTCATCTTCTTCTTGAACTTGTGCTGGAGTTGTTGAAGGTGGTGTGGTAGGCTGCTCCGCAACTTCTTCATCAAAGAAAGGACTAAACGAGTAATCTTTCTCTTTAGTTTTCCATTCCAAGCATTATCTTCATCAAATTCAACATCTCTGCTTATGATGACCTTGCCATTTCTTGGGTTATATAATTTATAACCTTTAGAACTTTGATCATAGCCAATGAAAACATACCTCTCACTTTTATCATCAAGCTTGAACCTCTTCTCATCCGGCACATGTGCATATGCAATGCTCCCAAAAACTCGCAAATGAGAAACTTTTGGCTTTAAACCACTCCAAGTCTCTTGAGGTATTTTTTCATGATACTCTTGGTGTGACACCAATTTGACAAATATATTGCACAAGCAACTGCCTCAGCCCAAAACTCCTTTGGCATATTTGTGCTCTTCAACATACTACGTGCCATGTTGAGAATAGTCCGGTTCTTTCATTCCATGATGCCATTTTATTGTGGTAATCTTGGAACAGTTAAAAAGTAATGAATTCCACTATTTTCACCCCAAAAAAACTTGAATTTCATTTGAAGTGAATTCTCTGCCATTATCGGACCGCAATGACTTAACCTGAAAGTGTGAAACACCTCCGATTTCACCTTCAAAAAATACACCCAAGTTTTTCTATAAATATCGTAAATAAAAAATAAAAAATAATTACTTTTACCAAGTGAAGATGGCTTGATTGGTCCGCACACTTCCATTTGAATCAACTCCAATGGGCATCAGGCGCTAGTCAAAGACTCTTTAGGAAATCTTTTTCTTGCTTGATTTCCAAAGAGACATCCTTGGCAAAGTTGGCTCGGATGATCAATTGTTGGTAATCTATTCACCATGATTTCTTTCTTCATCAACTTTAGACTATCGAAATTCACATGACCAAATCTCATATGCCAAAGCCAAGATGAATCTTTGGTACAAAAGCTAACACCTTGGAACATCATATTTTTAAAGCAAATATACCGCTAGGCAGGCTGCCTGGTAGTTAATATATATATATATATATATATATATATAGAACATAAAAAGCAGGATCCAATGTTTACATTTTGCCCAAGAAAACCTCAAAGAAGCTAAACTAATGGTAAAGCTAATGAAATAAGAACTACTAACCAGTACAAAGGCTGTCATAGTCAACTCTCCACATATGCCAGTGTGTATCCACAAGCCAAGTGCATAACCTCAATGTAGCACCTCTAATGCTCTCACCAGGTGCCAAGTTTTGTGTTCCAAAGGACAAGGCGAATGTGAATATCCAAACAACACCATCAACTTCTGGATATGACCAAATCATTTTGTAAATCTGTTAGTGTGTGATCCAGACCTTGCAACACAGAAGTCTGCTAGTATCTGCTTTCTCATGATCGAGTATGTCTGCATCTCAGGCCAAATACTTCTAGTAGTGATTGCTAACATTGGCTCTAGATGGGCTTTTATGAAGGCAAAAACCTGCAAAGTCCTTATGCCCGCACTGCCATGACTCCTCCAGAATGGACATGGAAACATGTCAATACCACTGAATATAGTCATGACTAGATCAAGCCCATGAACATCTAGTATAATGCCTTCTGATTCCATTGAGTTCCAAGTTTGATCCTTCAGAGTAACCTGATGAGCTCCAACTTCACCACCACCACCTCGGGTACTACCCCGTCCAGCACCACGTCTAGCAGATGAGGGTGTGCGTGTCCTAGCCATCTGCAAAAGAGACAATCCAAAGTCAAACTCAAGTTATCTCAACGCACGATCAAGGAATGAAAGAAAGGAAAACATCCTAAATGCTTAGTAGCCTCAAGATCATATGTATGGGCGCCTATATACCCATGAACAAGACTCTACTAAACACTGCTCCATGACCCGGGACTTAAAGCCTAAGCTTTGATACCAAGTTTGTCACGTCCCAAACAACCCCCTAGACATGACTGGCACCCAGCTAACACCACCTGCCAGGCGAACCCCTTTCTCTAATATTTAACCATTTACACAAACACTGAGAGAAAAAGTGTAGGCCTAAAGTATTATTAATAATTAAAGAGGTAATGATTATCTCCCAATACCTTAGTCAATTGATAGAAAAACCAACAATCACCCAAATAATAAAACTCTAGCCCAAATCCCACACTAAGACCATGGAGCATCTAACAGAGTAATATGAGTTTTATTTACGGGTATGCAAACCCCCAAAAAAAGGAAATAACTAACACGAACTAACAAGTCTGAAACGAAAGCCTCCACGAACAATGCGGTGGATCACCCCAGCAATAGGATCCTCTCAAACAAACTCGTCAGCCACTAGCTCTATCTCCCACAACGGTATCCGTATAGAGATGCAGGTAAGGAGTGAGTTATATATAAATATAACCCAGTAAGATCCTCGACCCGCCACTTTAAATACCTCTGGAACAAGTGTTAGAAAGTAAAAACACACTACAACACGAATGATATAGTAAATATGATAATTATACAATAACTATATATATGTGTATCAACAGAGTTATCAAGAATTAACCAACAAGAATACCCACTAAGAACTTATCATAATTGCAGTGAATGAAATTTACCAACACACCACGAGTCCACAACGGCACCACCATGCCTCAAATATGTAACAGAGCATACACAATGCTCGGGTGATGTACAAAGGCATACACAATGCCCCGACATCATGGTGCACAGCCGTATCAAGCTCAACATCATGGCGCACAGCCATATCAAACTCAACATCATGGCGCACAGCCGTATCAAATTCAATATCATGGCGCACAGCCGTATCAAACTCAACATCATGGCGCACAACCGTATCAAACCCAATATCATGGAGCACAGCCGTATCAAACTCAACATCATAGCGCACAGCCGCATTAAACTCAATATCATGGCGCACAACCGTATCAAATTATAAAACTCAACCTCATGGCGCACAGCAGTATCACACTACCAAAGAACTTTTAAAATAATTTTTTTTCATAAAATAATAAATATGCAGCTAGTCTAAGACCACCGACTCTGCCGACCAGGCAGAGAAAACACACTTTCAAAACGGGTTTTAGAAAAAGCAAGTAACAAAGCTTAAAGTCTCACTTATGTCACTAATGGGAAGTTCCCCAACCTTGCAACGTGTAGAAAACCAACCAAATGGCCTCCAATGGCCTCAATCTATCCAAAATATTAAATAACATGCCCTAATTAGTTTAGGTGAATAATTTTCATAATCTTAAGACGAGTCAAAATCAAATCAACCCCTAGCCCAATTAATAAATTATTGTACACAAACATTGGCCAACAGTAGTATTCAAAAGTGCTGAAACATTAGTAGCTTCACAAACTGTCACGACCCGAATTTCCCACTGTCGGGACCGTGATGGCGTCTAACATTGTATTCGCTAGGCAAGCCAACATTACAAATTATTTCGTCTTTTCCTTTTATCTTTTAACAATTTACAGGTTAACATAAGTAAATCAGCGAAATAAAATGAAAGAACAGAATTTAACAAGTTATCTTAATACAAATGCGAAACCATAATAAAACGTCACCCAGAACTGGTGTCACAATTTCACGGACCAACTACGAATACTACACATAATAGTCTGAACAAAGAAGTACACATCTGTTTCGAAAATAAATAAAACAGAAAAGAAAGACAGGACAGAAGGGGACGTCAATGCCTGCGGACGCCTGCAGGATTACCTCAGGTCTCCACTGGACTAAAGGCAGCAACCTCGAACTACGGTCTATATTGTCCAGCACTGGGATCTGCACAAAAAGTGCAGAGTGTAGCATCAGTACAACCGACCCCATGTACAGGTAAGTGCCGAGCCTAACCTCGACAAAGTAGTGACGAGGCTACGGCGGGGCATATATATATATATATATATATATATATATATATATAACCTGCAACAGTTTATAATAAAAAGAAAAGAAGTACGGAATGAAAAGTAACCAGAACTTGCATTAAAAGAACACAGGACCCAACAAGTCTACTAGTATTCAGCTATAACCAATCACAATCACAATCCCAGCCCACTAGACAATCACAATCCTCCATTTTTCCTCCTGTTGCGGCATGCAACCCGATCCCAAC